GGGGGGGAGTGTCTTTCTAGATTGTCCTCAGTCCACATGCTATCCCTAGCAATCATCTTACTGGTTTCATTGGAACAATAGACTGGTCATAATTAGAATCATAGAATCATAGATTTGGAAGAGACCACAAGGGCCATCCAGTCCAACCCCCTGCCATGCAGGAATTCTCAATCAACACATACCTAATAGATGGCCATCCAGCCTCTGTTTAAAAACTTCCAAAGAAGAAGACTCCACCACTCTCCAAGGGAGTGTGTTCCACTGTTGAACAGCCCTATTATAGCAGAATGATTCAGTGTGGAGTAAGAATGTATACAAAAATAAAAAAATAAAAAAATAAAATAAAAAATAAATCTTTCAGACATGTTCTGGATTGTTGTTGTTGTTGTTTTATTTAATAAAAGCAGCTTGTTAATGGAGAAAGCAAATACACTACAGGGTCGCTTCCCCATCTGTGGTATTTTAAAATCCAAATGAAACAATTAGCAAAGATAAAGAGAATGTTTGTGATTTTTCATTAGAAATGAAGCTTGCTGATTGTTACTGCTGGATTTTTTCATTCTGTATTTGTGGCTGTGTATCCCAATGGCAAAGATTCTCCTGTCAGAATAGAAACAGAGAGGCTTTACTATAAATGTAGTGCTGGTAAATCACCTAACTTCATAGGAACTTTTCCATGACCAATGTCAGCTTTTTACCCAAGGGGGAATTTCTATCAAATGGCAATGGGCTCATGGACAATTTAATTTGCTGCTTAGCTTAACAGCTTCCAAGGACCTCTGCTAGGAATAGCATTCACTTACAAAAGCTAATGACTAATGAGACAATTGACCTTAAAGATTAGACAGGCCAATCCCCCATTGCTTTCTTGAGGATATATATTTTTGTTACTGTTTTTCTTCCTTACAGAAGGTTGACATTCAAAACAGGGAAGAATCAGCAGAGTGGAACATGCAGAAGTACATAATGACAATCCTTATAGTACTGAAGGAGACTGTCTGCCAGTTACTTCTACTTTAGCTTTTTCATACTCCTTTCCTCATCATGCCTACAGTGCCTCTCCCCAAACTCAGAACAGTATCTCTCTTTGTGCTTGTTATATCAGCCTTCCCTTCTTCCAGGTCTTTCTTCGAGGATTAGGTGAAGAACTGCTGTATACAAGAAGACTTAAGGCCAAACTACATGTGATCCAATCTCTTGACATGTTTTTTAAAGCTTAAATGTAGTGTGAGAAGGTGAACTATTGGCTGGGGACACTAGCACTAGGAAAGGGGAAAGGGAAAGAACCAGCGCAAATATAA